ACGGCGCCGCGCGTGGGTGTGCGGGGTGCCGCGGGTCCCCGCTCCGCCCGGGCTATGGGCTGCCTCTCCCCCTCCTGGCCCCGTCTCCCGTGGCCGAGGGGTGTGCCCGAGCCCGGTGGGTGCCCGGGAGGTGACCGTGCCACCGCCACCCCTGCTGGGGGACGTGTCCCACCTCCGCCGTCCGGAGGGAGACTTTCCTCTTAGATTGAGATCTGGGCTTTTTTTCCCCACCGACAGCTGGAAGCGGTGTCCTGGCTGTTGAAAACGTACTTGTAATTCCAAACAATTTAAATATAGCTTGTGCGGTCAACTGCTGTGGCCATCTTCCCACAGGAGACCTTTACCTGCGCTTGATGTGGTGGATTTTTTTTTAGTGCCCGTGTAGTTGCTGGTAGTCACATGAGTTATCGAGATACTTGATAACACACTCAGCTGCTCTTTTCCTAACCCGGCGGGGTTTTGTAGCTGTAAATAAAAATACACGCCTTAACAAATGGGTGACTTTTCCAGTAAGTACACATACGTTTTACTGGTATTTTCTGAAAGGTGTAATCGATACGCAATTAACGCTTTAAGACCAGTATAAGGAGCAATGTATTGTTTTTATGGTTGTGTCCGGGGAGTGTGGAAGTGGTCACGCAACTGTTCTCAGAAAGCATTTGTTGGAGCGCAGGACAAAATAGGTGAGAGAAAGAAGGATTTATATTTTTCCGCTACCTCTGTAACGCTGAGGTAAAACACAGGTGGGAAGCTGCTTAGCAGCGCTTATGAGAGCAGCAGTTGTAAAGAACCCTGGCAGCAAAATACCACCTTACACTAATTTAAATGCAAGAACGTAGGGGAAATCTGTGATTATGAAATGATCCAATATCAGAAGGGGACAGATGCATATAGAAAATGTTGCAAATGTGCGTAAAGTGGATAATACTACTCTGGGCAGCAGCTTTGGTGTAATGTGGTGTGGGTTTATGTGAAAGGGTCAGCAGTTTAATAATTCCTGTTGGAAGCAACAGAATTTCTGTGATCTCTTGGCAAGAAGTTCAGTTAATGAAATCTGAGTGGCACTGTGAAAATTAACTTTGTTTTTCTGTTTTGCCAGTGGCGGCACCTGACTTGCTGGATCCCAAATCGGCCACTCAGAACTCCAAACCAAGATTATCATTTTCCACCAAGCCTACCGTGCTCTCTTCACGGGAGGAAAGTGATTCGGCTATTAATGTTATGAAATGGAAGACGGTCTCAACAATTTTTCTGGTGGTAGTCGTGTATTTAATAATTGGAGCAACAGTATTTAAAGCCCTGGAGCAGCCTCATGAGACCTCCCAGAGAACCACCATTGTGATTCAGAAGCAGACGTTTGTATCTCAGCATTCCTGTGTGAATGCAACAGAGCTTGATGAACTGATTCAGGTAATCCATACCAAACCCTTGTCACCGTGGCTCAGAGGAACAAATTGTATATGGCAGCACTGCTGTGATAAAAGGGAAAAACTTTATTAGCAAAACTCTGTATTGGCCAAGCGATGTAACAAGTGTTAAGACCAGAAGTTGAGCAATAGCATTTTCATGCAAAGCCTCATGGTTGAAAAACTGTTGCTATTTTTAGGTCCAGTATGCTTGGTAGACAGCCTTTTCACTGAAGCCTCCCTTTATACTAATTAAATGATTATTCATCAGCAATATATATAATTAATAGTTCACAAAGGAATTGATATATTGATTGTGCCTTACTAGGTCTGTCGATATTTGAAATGCCTAATTCTGAGGAAGAAAATACACCATCCATTGCCTTAAAGGACTTCTAATTTACTGTGATTGTATCAAACTAGCTTTCCTTCCAGCCGTATGTTTCTTTATATTGATTTTGTTTTAAGTACAGGAAAGTACCACGGACTTGCTACTTTGATCTTAAATCTCAATTTTCTCTCCTTATTAAAGGCACAGCCACGACTGATGTACATCGGTCTGTTCCTACTAATGTGACTTTACCTTTGCAGGTCACCTGCCTCAGAACCATAGGAAATATTTATTTCCAGTAGCACAGAACTAGATCCAGAGCCTTATGAGGCCCTCTCCAACTTAAATCTCACGTTCCCACATTCTTATGAATATCCAGTGGCGCTGCAGGGAACAGCAAGGGGCTGCCAAATAATGTCAGTTCTGGGGATGAGACCATGAAACGGGAGGCTGGAGCGAACACCCAAGAGTTGGCAAGGTTTGACCCCTTCATTAACAGTAGCCATGGAGCTGTCTGGGTCTGCAGAGCCTGAGATGGGACACCGGAGAGCAGGAGAGGGTGGTGGGCATCTAGACCCTGGCTAGCACGAGCTCTGGAGCATGTCAGTTGCATGGGCAGCAAAGCTTTCTGGAAGTGGTTTTTGACAGCAGGTCTGGCTGGGAGTTTAAAAGTTGATTTTACCTCTCTAGACCAATCTGCCTTGAGCATCAGCATGAACACCTGTTTTGGGTTTTTTTTTCAGTTATAAATGCAGAGCCTTGATGTACTGAGCTATTTTTATGGCACACTACTGAATTTTAAAGGCAAACTGGGAAAATGTCTTGTATTTTGTGATTTCTCCCCTGCCTTGTTGCTCACGTGTGTTCGAAAACTGCCACCCTTTAAATAACTGTCAGGTGGTTCCTATCTCCATGTGTCCTGACTGGGCATGCCTGAGGAGGTGCTGTCGATCCTAATTTTGATGCCCTGTAATAACTATGTTTCAGTGGTTTTACCAGCAGAATGTGAGATAATCTTTCAGAGAAATATACTAGCACATTCTGATTAAAACAATCTCTTGTAGCTAGTATAAATATCCCCATATGAATTTTTTAGGGCGGATCCTGTACTTGTGAAGATAAAAATAGAGATTTTGAGGTAATATTACCTTACATCATCTATGAGATGGTCCTTAAGGTAAAAACTGTTGAAATTTGCTCTGGAATACTTAGATATTTTAGCATTTATGATTCCCTACCCAGAAGCACAGATTGGTAATAAAAAACCACTTCATCAGCATTCAATGCCCATTTGATGTTCTGTGTAAAATAAATGCCAGTTTCAGTACAATTATCGGAGCACAGATACCCGTATCAGCGTTAGCTCCCTTCTTTGCTAGCGATCTTGGCATGACCAGAAAGACACAGGCTTCTGAAGCATGGGGGTGTGACACAGCCTCCCACAGCGCGTGGATGAGAGTTGGTTGTGGGAAGAGTTTGCTTTGCTTGTTGTTGGGGTAAAGGGAAAACTTAATTTCTCCTTGTTCCCTTCTGCTTCTCTGCGAAGAAGAATACCACAACTTGGAGGTAGAACGTGCTGTTACTCTCCTTTTATAGGAGGAGAGCTGAGGCATGGGGAGCCTGGTCCTACAAGTGCATTTGAGTGCTTTTCTTTACACAGAATAAGTGATAACAAATTACATCGAGTTGTCTAAGGTTCAGGAATTAAGTGACTTGCCCAAAGTAAAATAGGAAATCAGTGGTAAAGCAGAGTCTCAACTCCATTTTTCTGAGTCTAGGCTGCTACCCCGACCATGGGGTCATATTTCCTCCCTGCTTACCACTCTGTCACAGAAGCTAAATTACTGGAATGCGTTCTGTCTCTCTGGGTTTATGTCTGGCTGTTATTACGACAATATAATGCAGTATTTCTTCAGTTTTCATTGGATGTCTGTATGAATAAAAATAAATAGTGTGTGTGAGAAAAAAGTAAATGATATTTAAGAACTCACTGAAAGCTATAAAACTGAAAATTAATACGTAGTAGTGTAGTAGGAAGCTGGAATGATTAGTGTGTGTGAAGGAAATTACAGCTTGCAAACTGTAATGTCTTCTTTAATCAAGTATTTACCTTGACTCAAACTATAATGAAATGCATTATAAACTTTTCCTTTTGAACTTAGTTTTCTGGGATTCCAGAAACTGTTTTGGCTCTTGTTCGTGCTATTCATTGCTCAAGGTGCTTGTCATGCCAGGCTCTTTCAATCTTCACAACTTCTGATCTGCCATTTAATCCTTCCTCTGCAGCAGGCTTGACTATCCCAGGACTGCTAGCCGACAGTACAATGTGCAGTGGCTTGGTCAGGTGAGCAAATTAGGGAGGCTAGTTTGAGAGCACAAGTTCAGCAAAAAAAAAATTGTACCAGTGGAACAAAAAGTCCAGTTCGCTAGCACCCAGGCGCCAGCTAGCTTCCATCACCTTTGCTAAAATCTTCCCTTTGCCACAGAGCTGATTGCAACACAGACTTGTGTGCTTCTGTAAGTGCACACAGGATAGGGAAGTTTCCCTTCCTGTCTTCTCCACCCTTATTTTATTTCACCAGTCACCAAAAACCTTCCTGGCACAACAGTATATACTGTTGCCAACGTTTCAGCACACACGGCTTTATTCCCCTGGTTTTGGATTCCTGAAAGTATGTATTTTCACACTAATTGTGTGGCTCCTCTAGGTGTACTCAGTGAGAGTTATACTTTTATAGACTTTATATATTTTATATCCATGTGAAACATGGGGCAATAGAGAGCTGCGATGCAGCATAGAAAATGCGCAAAGTTAATGAAATAGAGTGCTCTCACGATGACAGCCAAGTGGCCTCAGCTGCCTCAGAGAAACGACCTGGATTTTCCTCATAACTTTTCAGCCCGGTCCAGCAGCACTCTTCCTGTGTTGACAAATAGGTGGTCTTCATGACCTTGTCCATCTCTGACTTCCGTGATCCAGTGTTGCAAATCTCTTTCAGAGATTCCACTTCAGTCACTTGTTGCTTCACTACAATAAAATACACCTGCAATGAGCGACAGTAATGTATGACCCTGACACCTGCTTCCAGGTACATCCTTTTTTTTTTGATATTTCATGAGCGCTTCCGTTTAGTAGCATACTTAAAATGTGCAAAAGTCACACAGAGCATATCTGTACACCCAAGAGGCCATTTCTTTCCAGGCAATTTCAACTCCATTTGCTATAGCCTGAAGCAACTATTAACAAGAATATTAAGTGGATCACGGTGTGCTGCACACAGCAGTGCTGAGGTGGGCAGTGTCCAGCAGTCAGTGGTGGTATGTCTAAATCTACAACTAAAGAAATCTCTCAGGAGGGACGTTTGTGAACATACAAGCACTGCCTTGGGGAGTCTGATCAGGATACAACAGACCAGCAAACTGTGCAGGGTCTGATGTTAAACTTCAGTGTTTAAAGTTTCAGTTGGAAAGGTCTTGAAAGGATCTCAGTTATTAACAGATGAGAAAGCATTGGTTTGGTGAAGGTTATATATAATATCTAATACATTTTAAAGCCGTAGAAAGGGATGTGGCCAGATACTTTGCTACTATTCCTCCTTTTGGAAGAAGAACTCTTGACAATTCATCATGGATGGTGTTTTGGTTTCTCTGTGCCTGCTCTCAACTTGGCTCTGCCATGCAACGCAGAGTAACTGCCAGGTGACAGAATAAAAGAATAAATGTAGTTCAGACTGCGTGGATTTTATGTATGTATGACAAAATATATAAACCTGATCTTTATTTACACTAGGGATTTTTTACATCTTGCACTGAACAGGTTTTTTCCCCACCACTGAGCTTTTTGTGGGCAGAAACTGATAGAAACCTGGGAGTAATCCAGCTATACACATGCAAATAACAATAAGCATTAAAGAATGAAAAAAATTCTCTAATTAGAGAACTTGTATCTCAACTAGAACTAGATTGAAATAATTTCTTTTTTAGTGTGTTGGCTGTTCCCTGTAGTAAGCTTGCCGCTAAACATTTCAAAATGTTGGGTACAGTTTTCAAACTCAGATGCACAAAGTGTATTGCCAAGTATCTAGAAAAAGCTCCTGATGTATTTATGCACCTGTGCCTAGTAGAAAATGTAAAGAGCCCCGAGGTTATGTTGCTGATGTTCAGGTTGCGTGCATGTCCTCCTGCAGTGCTGCGCCGCCATCGAATACATGCATATACCTTCATGACATCTCTTGGGCTTAAGAGTTTGTCTCTGGGGACAAGTGAGCCTGACTGAATAAGATATCAACAACTTTGAAAAATTGTCATTATTGTGGTTTTGTACACTTCATTCCTTTATAAGGGGAAAATGATTTCGGTTTCTGTCCCGTCCCGTCCGTCCCCCCCCCCCTCCCCGAACTCATGTTGTTCCTAAGAGGTAAGGATGTGACCAGTATTGTGTATTGTGGGATGTCTTGGCAATGACAGGCAAATATTTGTCCCCCTGCCAAAAAGGAAGCTGATTAAAAAATAGAGAAGAGCTTTTTATGTAAATATCACCTAATTATGTATTGCTCAGCAGTTACTTGCTTTAGCGTTGACCTTTATAAACCAAAATGGAAAAAAAAATCCTCTTAATCCCCAAGCATCAAGTTCTTTAATGTATTATTTTTGCATATAAAAATTTCCAATTT